AAGTCACCCTGACGTGGGGAGGGGCCGGGGAGCTGATCAGCCGCATCCCTGACTCTGCATTAGGACCATGAGGTGGCTGGCCCCACAGCTGACTCCATTAGTAGGGTCTCGGGGGACTTTAATGTGGGGTGGTGAGACATGCCGGCTAGGCCTTCAGGGCGGTGCCACGCGGACCTCACTTCCACCTGAATTCTTCCCACTTCTCCCTTCTCCCCGTGGTCTCTCCAACCTGCTCCTTTCCCCTTGAGCACACTGCCACCCATCCCTGTAGAAATACTTAACTCACTAAGCTCTGCTTCTGCCTTGCAAATTTCACAGCCTGAGGACTGCTCCAGGTGGGTTGCAGTTTCTGTTGACTCCATCAGGGGCAGCAGTGAGCACGGGTCTCAGTGACCGCTGATTGGAGCGTGTGGGGGTTGAGATGGAGACCAGGGGGTGTGGATAAAGGGGAGTTCTGAGGCCGTTTTCCTCAAATAAGATCTGAAATTATAGACCTGACCTTTCAGGGAGGATTCTTTTACTTCCTGAGGCATGTACTCCCCCTTACCTGGGCTGTATTTGTGTCCTTGCATTAACTTCCCAGGAAAATGGATAAAGTGGCTTCATTGTTTCTCTCTAATCCCCGGGTGGGGGTGGTGGAAGGCAATCCACAATAAGATCAAACTGCATATATCCTGATTTTTTTCACTTTATTGTGAGAATTTCCCCCATGTCATTAAATATTTTTGGAAAATATGACCAAATGTCACGATACGTATTTTATACATATTTTGTAAATTATGTATCCTAATTTTTTAAACCATCCCTCTATTGTTGGCCATTTAGTTGCTTTACAGTTTTTACTCATATCAGTAACTGCTATGAATTTTCTCAGACATAAATCTCTGACCCGCTCACAGATAATGTACCGTGAGCTGCAAGGACCTGGCTTCATCCTTTGAACTCCCCTCAGTGCTGAGAGAAGGGGTTTCACAGATGAACTTCACGCATGGCCCAGGTCAGCTTTCACTGGGGCCTGTCAAACCTGTCTCTCTAACACTAAGCGACATGAAATCACCAGATCAGGCCATGTCCAATTAGCATCCGCCATGAGCTCTTCACTCTGTAAAGAGGCATCTCGTGTTTTGTCATATTCAATTTCTGAAAGGCTATTAACAGAGGCCATTAAGGTACTAGAGAATCAAAACACAAGTAATGATTTTTTAAAAACACTTTGCAATGAATGTATCATGCGTGTTGACTCATAGCTCCAGCAACAAAGTCCCCTATTCTAAGAATGTCCTTGTAAGAGGAACTACTGAACAAACCTCAGGCAGTACCCAGCGTAAACTACCCTCCCTGTGCTCCTGGTGCCGATATACACCATCAAATGCAAATCATAGCATTGAGCGAAGGCTTGACAGCCAGGTACAAGCAGTATACATGCACCTGTGCACAAGGCATGTACACACACACACACACGCACACACACACGCACGCTCATACACATTTATTCTATGTGTGATGGCAATGCCTCAATGATATGGAAATCAACTGCTGAGCCATCAAGAGAAGTAGACTGCCAAGACCAAGGATACTTAGATCCCGAAGCAACCTGACTACTGCCTTGGGGTGGAGAAACTTCTAGAAATCACCATTAAAGGCTATAGTTTTCTCCCCGTGGGACTTTACTATCTGCCCAGCCCGGGGCCCAGAGTTGCTCCAGGAATACAACCCAACCGAGTTAGGTTGAATCCCAGGAGGAGTTCTGAAGCTGTTTCCAGTCTGTTTTACTGAATAAAACTCTCATTTTGATATGATGGGAAAAGAGGTTTGGCCAAACTCAATCTAAGCGTATCCTGCTTCCTAAACAACCTAGAAGCAACCGGAGAGTTACCACTGGAAAAATCATCCAAGTATTTTTCACTTCTGAAAGTGCCTGCTTACGGTATTGCATAAAGTCTCAGACAAAGGTTGTTTTCTGGCCTATTCTTAGCAGCTGATAAAATGGCCTTTCGGGGGCCTTGCCTCTGATGTGCAGACTGGCGTGGTGTCACCTCAGAGGTGACAATCATCCCCTCTGCCTACTTCCCTTTGTGAGAGGAAGACACGATCCAATTACCATGTGTCCCTGCCCTTGCTTGGCCTCAGCAGATTGGATGTGAGGCCTGACATAAGTCAATTAGCTTTTCTGCCTGGAGGAGCTGGAATTGGTGGCTGACTGAGTGACCTAACTGTATGGGTCTCTCTTGTGTTCCCCAAATAGCTTCAAGCGTGGCAGCCTTCTGGGTAATGTCTTCCTTTAATATCCAATGAAGATTTAATAAGATGAGTAGAAAAGAGGAACTTAAATATTTGTTGATTGTCCGGTAAATGCAAACAACGATTCTTCATTGTGCCCAAGCACAATCTTTTTGTGTTATTGTCAAATGCACCATTCCCGGCTGATTTCTCCCACGGTTAGGATAAAGATAGCAGAGCTGTGATTACTTGCAGCGCCCTGCCTCTTCAGAACCTATTTGTATGGAAACTATAGATTTTCTGGCCTCTGCAGTTCCCTAACACCATTTAATTAATACTGAATATATTGTTGCTCATGTTACATCATGCATTTCGCAAACCCCCCAACTCCCATCCCTCTCCCCCCATCCCCCTCCCTGCCCGTGAATACTGGTTTCCAATGACTTTCTCAAAGGTTGTTACTGTGCTTTGTTATGGGAGCCAAAAATGCTCATCTTACCTGATAGTGTAGGAAAAGGTGAGGATAATTTTTCTGATCATGTTAACTTTACCGTTTAGAATTCTATAGTGTGAATATAGACTAACACATTGCAACCATGAACTTCCAGGCTGTGGCTACTGCATTTCCAGATGTGATGTCTTTCAGTGTTGACTATTTGCTGACAGATTCCAACGCTAGTCAGGTCCCTTAAACTTCCTTGTAAAACCCACTCATAGCAAGAACGCTCCTAAGTCAGGTTAACCAGCACCTCCACCCTTGAACCTGAACACCCTCAGTATCTGATCGTCTTCTTCATCCTCCACCCCCAAGCCATGTCTGATCACCCTGGCCTGTCTTTAGCCAAGAATCCTGTTAGGTCAGTGGTCGGCAAACTCATTAGTCAACAGAGCCAAATATCAACAGTACAACGATTGAAATTTCTTTTGAGAGCCTAGGGTACTCCTAAGGCTTAGGAAGAGCCACACTCAAGGGGCCAAAGAGCCGCATGTGGCTCGCGAGCCGAAGTTTGCCGACCATGGTGTTAGGTCAACTTAGCTAGAATGGCCTTTACCTCTGATGTTTCTTCATAGTAATTTTCCATGCACTCACCCCTATCCTGATATTTGGCTATAATTCCCACTTGTCTACCCTGTATTTGGAGTTGAGCCCCATGTCTCTCCCCACTGCGAAATCCCATTGCAGTGGTCCCTATGCCTATTGTGACGGTCCTGAATAAAGTCCACCTCACCATCTTTAACAAGTGTCCTTGAATTTTTTTCTTTAACAACCTCTGCCTACCACACACACTGTCCTGTTGCCAGTGGGGAGGCTGGGGCGAGGGCCCAGGAGCATAGTGAGAAGAACGGTCCTGTCCAGACAATGAATGGCTGTTCCTTGTCCAATGCAATTTAAGACTGACCTGGGAGAGCATGACATCACCATACCAACTGGAGGGAAGAGGGGACACCAACTGGAAGGGCCAATTGCAGAACAGTGGTCTGTAAGCCTTCTGAGGAGAAAGAAGTGGCCATCCGCCCCGAGGGCTGCCTGGCACGTGGCACAGAGCCTGCAAGGGGGTAGGGAGACCTTCTTGGGTGGAACTGACAGGATGCACAGGGGAAAGGATGCCTGCCACCACCTTGCCACACTTGGATGCTAGACCAGAGACAACGCCGCAGTCAGAACGCTGACAACAGAGTCTGGGGCTGGAGAGCAGGGGTTAGCTGTGGATTCGGTGGCCAGGAGCTCTGCGCTTGTCCTCTGACATGTCACCCCAAATCAACATGTCAGCACCATTCCGGAAACCTATTAGTATTCTCACCAGTGAGAATGATCAGCTTTCCATGCTGCCTTCTTGGAACTGGGGCCAGACGTAAGTCCAGGGACTACCCCACGGGCAGGAGTCTGACTTCCTGGGGGCATCTGTTTGACCCCACATGAGGTTGACCCCTAAAGGGGAGAAACAGGTACCAGGCATCTGGTTGACCCCACAAAAGCCTGACCCCTAATTTAGAGGAGAGAAACAGGATCTGGGCGCACCATGTGCCTGGCTGGTCCCAGGCATCGGACAAAACGACCCGGGACGGTAGCTGCTTTTTGCAAACGGAGTCCATACAGGATCAGCTTCGGGTCGGGGCACCCTGCCCGCAGGCCGCTGCTGATCCAGGTCCTAGTCCCAGGTACCCGAGGAAGACTCAGAAATAAAATTTGAAGAATTCACTCTCAGGCAGAGGTGTGTGAACTTTTTTGTGTGCAACGGGCCAGACAGTGGATACTTTAGGCTTTGCAGGCTGTATGGTCTCTTTCTCAGTTCTGAAAAAGTAGCCAAATACAAATGTAACCAAATGGGCATAGCTGCATTCTAATAAAACTTTATTTACAGAAACAAGCAGTGAACTGGATTTGGCCCGCTGGCTGGATCCCAACCATTGCATGTGGCAGAGGGCCGCGGGCAGAGGCTTCACTTGCCTGGATCGAATGGTGCTAATAGTGGGACTACAGGACCGAATGATAAATGCACCTGTCATTGTGGTAGATATGCGCAGACTCCCCTCTACAGAGCTCTTATCGTGGTAAACTTATCATTTACCACCAGCAATTGCATCTGATTCCCTACTGCCTTGCCAAGAAAACGTTTTATCCGATTTTGAATTTTTGCCAGTTCGATAGTGAGAAATGGTATCTCAGTGTGATTTTAATTAGCATTTCTTTCCGTCTGAGTAGTTCTGAGCATCCCTCTCGTTTTTTTTTTTTTAATGAACCATCTGTCTTGGGCTATTTTATTATTTTGTTATTGGCCTTTTTCTTCCTGATTTATATTAGTTCTTTACCTATTAAGATTAGCCCTTAATGTGTATGCTGCCGTTGTTGGATATGGTAGTCTATGTATGTATCAATTAGGTCCAAGTGGTTGACAGCATTGTTCAAATGTCTGAGATACCTCGTAGTCACTCAAGTGGAGCTGTCCAGCAAGCATTTGGAAATACACATCCGGAACTCGGGTGAGAGGCCTGCACTGGAGAAATGAACTTGGGAATATTAGAAACAATGCGATGGGTTAGGTCACCTGGGGAGAAAAAGTAGAGAAGAGGTCATAAATACATGACAACGTTTAGAGATTGAGGAGGAACAACCACAAGACAGAGAAGGGGCCTCCAGGGGTGTAGAAAGGAATACTTTCAGTTGAGTGGTGGGGACAAAAGCCTGACATCTCAGAGAACAAAGTGATTAGAGCGCTGGTGGTCCGTGAGGTCTGAAAGGTTGGCGACCGCTGGGTTAGAGAAAGACAGTCGGCTGCTAGACAGTTGAGGGTTAACTTGACGTCTGAGGTTATAAACTGAAAGGTCTGTCTGAGCAGTCATGAGTTTTTCACCTGCCACATTCAGCTGCTCAAGGGCAGGTAAAGCATCGGTGGAGAGCTATGTCTAACCAGAGCTGTCCAGTCACAATGAAGGTGGTAGTGGAGGATGTATGGATTGATGAGCCCAGGAATCTAAGCTGGAAAGTGAGAAGAGTGCTTCAAACAGAGAAAAAAGTGATAAAGCAATAAACTGGAGATCTAGGTATGGTCAAAGCCAATATATTATACTCATAACTACAAGATATATACACAGCTCACCCCAGTCTCTTCTGGGTGAGTTCTATACAGGCTCAATGTCCATGTAGTTTATTAAAAAAAAATACATACAACAGGATGGGTAAATATTTCTTCAATTTTATTCTTATTTGAGTTTACAATAATTCAAGGATGAAAGATGCCCAGAATAAATGGGTAGACTATCATACCACAGATATAGTATATGGCAAGGAAGCCCAAATACTGAAAGACTTTTTAAAATGTACTTCATTTGGCTACATCACTGATAGTCTCGATGCGGAACTTTTGATGTCTTCCAGAAGATACATTACCCTAAGTTCCCATTTTATCATGTTCTGAGAAACGATTTAAAAAAAAAATGGTTGGTAACCAAGAATAAAAAAATGTTTTTAAAAAATTATCTGTGTAAATAAAGTGTCTGGTAGATTAGTGAAAGGAAGAAGTTTGGAAAGCAGGAATTTTTATATTGTATAAAAATACTGTGAATTCACATTATTTAAGACTGATAACAAATTATTTTTGTGGGTAAATAGGTCATCTTATCATTTGCATACTTATCTAAAGGCTTTCAAAAAACAGTACAATGTTTTAGAGGAATCTACATCCCTCTTATAAATTAATCCAGTTAATTGATGACTGATATTTCCATGATTTTTTTTTTTATCACATGCCTTTTAGACGTTTTGTTGCTGTAACCAAGATTGAGAAAGGAGCTATAAATCAGTCATCCTAGTTCTTTCTCAGCGTCTACCTAGAATGACGGGATCTGGGAAGAGTGGTAGCAATGAAATGTTCTATGGAATAAGGCATTGTTCTCTTTATTCTACCGTTTTTATTTATCTGAGTTTTCCTGGGGCTTAGGAACATGAATAATTCACAGTTGGCTACACTTACCATCAAGACATTAAATGGAGGTCTCCCTGCCTGAAATCTAAAAGCAGCAGCAATGCTCTGTTCCATAGACAGCCCTGCTTCTCCATTGCTCTCCTCTCGGGTAATTAGGTAGGTACTCCTGGTGCATTGGGGGGAGGGGGAGGGGGCAGGATCATAGGAAGAGTACTGGCTCAGGAGATTGGACACCTGGTCTTTAGTCACAATTTTGTCACTTTGCAGCCGTGCAACCTGTAAAATGTAACTTCTCTGAGTTTCAGGTTCTTTTGTTAAATACAGAGAAAGAAAGACCTACCTGACCTATTTCACAGGCACTGTCAATGTACTAGACCAAAGGTGCTGATAAACGCTTTAAAAATGTGGTTTCCTGGCCCTGGCCGGTGTGGCTCAGTTGGTTGGACGTACACCAAAAGGTGGTGGGTTTGATTCCAAGTCAGGGCACATACCTAGTTGCGGGTTCAAGCAACCAATGGATGTTTCTCTCTCACACTGATGTTTCCTTCTCTCTCTCTCTCTCTTCCTTCCTCTCTCTAAAATCAATCTTTACAAAAATGTGGCTTAAAAAATCAAAATAGAGAAATCATTGGGAAATATAAATGTTTATGAATCACATGGTGCAAATGTAAACAAGTAATTTACCAGTACTTTACAATAAAATCAAATAAATTATTTATGGATTTTTTTAAAATAAAAAAGTCTTTGCAGATAAATATTCATCAGCTTAACTTAATCATTCTTTCTTTCATAAGAATGTTCACTATGTGACGTTATAACTCTCCAAAGGAGAAATTCGATAATTCGTTCAGTTCTCTGCCTTAGAAGCTTCATGATAAGGCAGAAGAATGGAATAATTAAAGTTTTAAAATAAGCAAAAATATATAACTCTAAACCACGGTCCCCTTATTTTAAAGAGTTTACTAGGAACACTTTCCCCAATAGATGTATAAACAACCTACTATTTATATAATATTAACACTAACTCACAACTAAGCCATGAAGATCAAAGCTAATGTGCATTTTTCTTCCCTTATCAACTAAATTATTAAATATCTGATGGTCTTAAAAATGAACTACATGTGATATAAAAATGCTCACCTATTGAATGAATAAATGTTGGTTAAGTGTTTGGAATATAGATCAGAGGTTAGAAACTGTTTGAGATATAGCAGTGTGTATGACAGGGTCCCCTGTAGCAATGAGCCTGAACAAACAGATGACATGTACAGGCATGAGCAACCACTGAAGTAACCCACCAACTTCTTTCTTAAAATGGCGCACCTCAAAATATCAACGGACTTCTCCAGAAGAACCAATTCATCACCTGCCCATTCTAAATCTTCTATGTTAAATGGCACAGTGGTTTTAATAAGAAACAATTATCATGTAGGTAAGAAATACTATATTCTGGACAGTAACAAAATTTTTGGACCAAATGACAAAAGTATGTCAATAAAGTGTATTTAAGAATAACTATATAATGCTAACATTCTAATAGCACTATGATCTTTGCTAACAAGCCAAGATTCAGTTCTCCATCAAAAATATCTCTCTCTCTCTCTCTCTCTCTCACAAACACACACACACACACACACACACACACACACACACACTTTCTCGTCTCTACAAATGCAGCTTGGATTATTTCCTTTTCTTAACTATTAAGTCTTCTGAACAAGATCGACATTCTTTCAACAAATCAATGATCAAAAATGACCCACTGCTTTCATGAAAGATCTCTCAAGGTCATTCTGTGTTTCAAGGGCAGCCTGCCAAGGACTTGCAGAGATGAAATTGAATTAGCATTGGCACAGGGAAATTCATAGCAGCAGGTCAAAGTCCATTTATCTTATGCTCAGCAGAACCTATTTAGGTCAGGTGAGGAGTAAGTAATTGGCAAATTGTTCCTCATCTCGCAGAGAGCCGGGTATAGTTAAAAACTATTGAAAGCGTGGTTGGGCCCCTTTCATTTTATGGATGGTATGCAGTAGGCACCACACATCCGTGAGACAACAGAGGTTAAACTCGAACTCTCCCCTAAACTGGCATTATAAGTTAAACAATAATCAAGTACATTTCTGCTGTGTCTGTGGTTTTAAAATGATTCACTGTAAACATCCTATAGGCTTTCCTATTTCATTAACTTCGGAGATTGAGCTTGCTTCTATGTCTGTGTGAAATTAGCATAAATACTGTTCATTCTGGTTCGACACAAATTCCTTTTAAAAATGTTAAGGCCATTTAATGGAGTCAGGGCCAACTGCAGAGTGCCCTGACTGAAGTCAAACGACTGATTTACGATTTTTGAAAGAGCCATTGACGGTTATCTTGCGTTTTCCTTCTCGGCAACTTGAGAGCAGTTTGTAGGATTAATTAGTCTCCAACATCTCCATCTCGATCTCCAATAAGCCAAAGAAAATGAAAACTTAAGGCTAACAACGCTGTCCCAAGCAGATCCCCCAGTGCCGTTAGGTAGGGGATGGAGAAGCTGTCCGGGTCCTTTCCCTTCCTCCAGAAGTGACGGACCATCCAGTCAGCGATCCACAGCAAGGTAAATACCTACAAGAGAACACCGGCGATTACTCCTGTGGCCTGGACATTCCCAGCCTGGCGAACATGACCATGAGTCTAAACTACTGCTTTCAAAAAGTTAACAGCATGCATGTCAGAACCATGCTCGAAAAGAAGAAATAGCTCATTGACAGGAAGATTTTCTTTTCACAAGAATACATTTCATTATTTCTGTGATAAAATTCTTCTTCAACATTTCACATGTATCTTCTCATTTTCTTCTAGCCTCCCAATTACCACAATCATCCTTATAGTTAATAGAACTGTGCAACTGCCAAATCACTGGTTTGTTTCAACTTTTTTCTATATGATAATCCTGTGACGTAGGAAGAAGATACATGAAGAAGAATATAAATATTACAATTAGGAATCATTTAATTCCTAAATGATTGAAATAAAGATGGAGAACTAACCATTCATGTATTAATTACTAGAGGCCCAGTGCATGAAATTCGTGCACTCGAGTGGGGGTCCCTCAGCCCAGCCTGTGCCCTCTCGCAGTCTGGGAGCCCTTGGGGGTTTCCGACTGATGGCTCAGGCTTGCCCCCGCTAGAAGCAGGTTTAAGCTGTCAGTCAGACATCCTTAGCACTGCCACGGAGGCTGGAGAGGCTCCCAACACAGCTGCTGTGCTCACCAACCGTGATCCTGGCTTCTGGTTGAGCAGCGCTCCCCCTGTGGGAGCGCAATGACCACCAGGCGGCAGCTTCTGCATTGAGCGTCTGTCCCGTGGTGGTCAGTACACATCATAGTAACTGGTCGTTCTGCTGTCAGGCCGAAACTGGCTCTCCAACATCCCTCACGGGTCCCAGATTGTGAGGGGGCACAGGCCAGGCTGAGGGACCCCACTGGCGCACAATCAGGGCGGGGAGGGACACTGGAGGTTGGCCAACTGGGGAGGGACCATGGGAGTGCTCCAGGGTGTGTCTGGCCCATCTCTCTCAGTCCTAATTGGCCGGACCCCAGCAGCAAGCAACCGACCAGTCGGGGCATCTGCCCCTGGTGGTCAGTG